AGTTAGAAGTAGAGAGAAGAAAGGGCTATTGGCAGCAAGAAAGACGAGAACTCTATTTTCGATGACACCAATGATTTGTTCCCGTTGGCTGAGGTGTGCAGATGAGCCTTCTCCAGGCGGGCTGTGCGAGCCTGCACTCTGAATAGGCTCTTTGCTCAGAGACTTTGCTGAGAGGGGCCAATTTATAAAGGGGCGCAAGAAGCAACCCCTTCACTGGATGTTGAAATGTCTTACACGCTCTGGTGTAACACTCAGTCGTAGTGCTCAAATGCACAAGCAATCTCTGAAAACATTGAGTTATTTTGGAGCTATCACTTCAAGCAGATTCGCACATGTTTCAATTCAATATGGAGGCAAAAAAGTGTAACTACCCACCTCCCATCCCCACCCCAGCCACAGCCCCCGACCCCAATACCAATGTACTTTTCACTCAAGAATACGGGGCTGGTGTTTTGGCTTTTTTTTTCCCTTTTTTTTTTTTGGCTGAAAAACTGTGTGTATTTGAATCTTGTATTTTGTTTTTTAAAGTCTGTTTCCTTGATCCTAATTATGGGTAAGAGAGAGACTGGCATGATTCCTCTCCCCTCACTGCTGGGACTCGGGGTAGATTGCAAACAATTTGTGTCAGTAAGGCTCTGCTCAGGGCACCTTAGAGTGGCACTAGTCTTTCAGGGCAGGACAGTGCTGCCTCCAGGTGGCCACTGCCCCATCTACCCCCGCAGCCAGGTAAGGAAGCCCTGCCCTGGTCTCAGACTCCCCAAAGACCTGGTTTGAAATCAGAGAAGCATACGGGCTCTCAGAACCAGTGACTCCTTCTGGCCTGTCAGACTTGTCCCTTCTTCCTCTTCCCCTCATCTCTTCTTTCCCCTTCACTCCCTCTCCCTCCACTTCTGTGCCCCATCAGGCCAAGCAGTCCGCAGGCCAGGGATCCTTCTGCTGTGGGCTGCCCTGCTTCTCCATGGCCTGCCATAGTGTTGCTAGTCTCCTCTGATGGAGGTGCCTCCTCGCTGTGACGGCTCGTTGCACTATGTCTCCCCAAAAGTGTATTTGACAATGTTAAAAACAAAAAGATTCCTACCTTATTTCAGATCTGATTTGTTCAAAACTTCCTGGAGCAACAGTGACGTAATCCATTCCAGGAACCACTCACTGGTCCACAGCAAACGCCAGCATCGGAATCACAAGTGAGGTCTATGAACCCAGATGGCTAGACCTCACCCTGAAAGCTCCCGTTTTGAGCAAATCTGAGTTGGGGGCTGAGAATTTGTATTTATGACAAGCTCCCAGGTGATGCTCCCCAGGGGCTGCCCTAGGAACCACTGCCCTTGGGTGAGTCCTTGAGGATCAATCAGGCCCAGTGCTGAGCAGTGACTGGCGCACTTGCTCGATGACCGGAAGGTGCCCTTGGTTACCACAGTATAAAGAAAAACCCACGATAATCACCATTTTAAAAGTGTGTGTGATTCTACTTTTATCCCACAGTGATGCTCCATTTTCAAAGCTAAAACCCACTTGCCAAATTAGATATAAAGAGAGACTCAAAAATACTGAACTGACAGGGTAAGCAACACTCAATCTTTTTCAGGAAAATGCCACTCTTACTGGTTGGCTGGATGGTTGGTTGTTTTCTTCCTAGAGGTAATGAGAAGCGAGCATCTAGTACATAAGAGCATCAGGAAAAAATCATTTTTGTCCAAGTGTGCTTTAAATTGGGAGCAATGATTTGCTGCTGAATAACACTGAATATATTCAGGACCCATGGAGGATTTGCATGGCCAGCCTCTAGTCGCTTTCGGCAGAGCATCAATTGCTACAGTCCGTTGAGACAAGATGGGAGATTGTCATCTGAGATTTGCCACATCAGGGCTTCATCAAAATGCAAAATCAACACCTTCCCTTTCTCCCTCTCCTACCCCAGATGATTTCTGAATTTGTGTACATTTGTGAATTCACAGAAGCATGAACAGAATGACATGAACATCACAAATGCAAATGTCTTTGTTTCTAACAAATTGCTCCAGTTCTCCTTCCATAAGTTTGGCAGTGGGAGGGAATGGACTTCAATACCATTTCATCATACATTTAGATGGCAGAGGCAAAGGTGACTCTTCCAAAGTTTTGTCAGGATCTCTCTTACACACACACACACACACACACACGCTCACACCACACACACTTCCTTTTTCAATGAGGATTGGTAGTTTAATAAAACTGACATCTGCATTTCTAAAGAAATATTTCACTGTCAAAAAAACGTAGCTTAGTTTTGTTTGCTTGAAATGTTTTCATCTCAGACCAAATTTAGAATACCCGCCACCTGTTTACACCACTAATCTTAAGCAAAGCAGCAAAAGCTCACCTCTTCCATCTACTTCCCGGCTACTTCCCAGCTATGATGGGGAGATGCAAGAGGCTTGAATTGGTAATGAACTCCTTGCTCCTTGAGAATCTGCATCTTTTGTGCTCCAAATACTGTAGCGAACAGATCTCAACTCCACGGTGTGTCAGAAAGCATCTTAGGAGCACAAAATCTCAGTATATAAGGGGCAAAGTTTAATACAGTGAAAGATTTAGCTATTTTGGAAACAATATTTAAAGCTCTCAGCGCCCGATTCCACATCTGTGAATGGAGGTGTTGGTCATGGCCAAGAGATCAGGCTATGTTTTCTCCTGTTCTAAAATTATAATAATATATATGCAAAATCATTGTTACTCTCCTCTTGACTCTCAAAGGCTGTACTTTGTTAAAACTGTTGAGACCAAGAGCAAATTAGCCTTGGTACATCTATGAGTTAGACAGTCTTGAAGCTTGAAGTAACAGTAACCAATTCAAACGCTGCAGAGGGAAAAAAAAACAAAGCTGTATAGTTAAGATTAAAATGTGTTTTTGTGAGACGCGAGGGCAGGAATGCAAACAGGTCTCAGAAAGGGACTCTGGAACAGAAAACCCAAGTGTTAGGAACCCAGTGGCATTCTCTGATGGTTGCTCCTCTCTGCTTATTCCCCTCAGCTCTTCCCTGGTACTCAGCCTTCTATCACAAAATGATTAAACAAGAGGTTAAATATTCTCTAGTCGATGTGAGCTGGAATCCTTTGACCTCCGTTCCTGTTGATAAGAAAAAGGTCACTGATTAGGTGAGTTCTGTACCTTAGCCCATTGATAAATAGGAACATTGCGGGTTCACCATTAGGAGCCTATGAATATTCAGGGAGTGAAACAATTCCCAGAAATGGACAGGGTCAGGGGACAAAGCGGTTTTCCACAGAAATGAAGATACCATACCGACAGGAAGCTCTCTGAATACAAGGACTATTTTCCAAGAGTTGTGTTGACGAGAGGTTGTGCCATGTACTGGTAAGAGAACTCAAGACATGAACTCCATTTCTGGGCCTGCAACCCAGGAGTGAGCGCGTTATGGTTCATCACAACCTTTTTGAAGTTTGGTGTCATCACCCTTGAGCAGGAATTATAAATTTCACATTCCTTTGGTATTCTCAGTACCAACCACATTGGATTCATTAACACATTTATATTCCTTTTCCATTCCAAATGAGAAAATATATGGGCAAGCACTTGGTGAACTGTACAATGATTTAACAATGTAGATCATTCTTAAAAGCTGTTTCAAATGCACTGTAATTAGTCTATTCACTTTCTTCTCCAAGTATCGGGGTCTTTCACCTCCATAATAGGGGTCCCCTTAATGCAGGTGTGGATTATCAGAGACTACAAGCCAAAACAATACTGCCCATCCATTAAGACCAGATTAGATATTTTAAGTCGGCAGCACATGCATTTTGTATTTCTTTGGCCCATTGCCTCCTGAGAGTGCATTTCTGTTATAGTACAGTGGGCGAGATGTGGAAATCATCAGCTATAATTCCTCTATGTATCTCATTAGAGGTCTAGTTTCCCCTTAATGCACATGAAGACCTTTCATTAGCAATAATGGGAGCTGCACGCATCAAGGAGAAAAACAGACCCTCACCATTGTGATCTAGATGAGGTTATTGGGACCCTTGCCTGCTTGAGCGGAGAATTATGACATTCAGAGATGCGTGGGGAAAATTAAAATCCTTGTGACTATTTTTTAAAACTGAAATGCAATCTAAAAATCTCTAAATGCAGAAGGGCAAGAATCAAAACCAAAGGATCACAGGCAGATTGAATCTAGGAATGAGTTAAGTAAGTGAAAGCCAAATGACAAGATAAACAAAGGTACAGAAAGAGTACCCAGGAGATTTGACAAAATAAGAATCGTTTCCAATGCATACAAAGTAAAACACTAGCAAGAAAGACTACAGGCCAAGAAGAAAAGCAAGGACCATTTACCGTCAGAAGCAGTAAACACTGCTGAAAGTTAAACAAATCCTTTGCCTCCATGTCCACAAAGGTAGATAGAAGCCAGAAATGTCTGCAGCCTGGAGAAGGATCAATGAAAAAAAAAAATATTACTGAAGGAAACAGAAGTGACACCTGAGTTTATGTCTTGAGGTTGACGCAAATGCCAGAAGCAATAGGAATATTTTCCTACTGCAATCAAGTTGACTTTAAATAAGGATACTTGGAAATGGGCCCATCCTGCATTAAAGTACTTTTGTCCTAATGTAAAAGCAATAGTTTTCAGATGAAGAGAAAATCATGTTTACCTTTCTTTACAGTACAGTATCAGTGGGTTTTCTTATACTTTTTGGAGGAGAGAAAGGTTGCACATGGAAACTAAATATGTATCTGCGACCTATTGAAAAGAAGTTCTAGCCACGTGAACCGACCCCAGGTTAATACTACCTCTTTTAAGCACCCTTACCCCATTTCTTTTTTTTTTTTTTTTGTGGGACCCTTGCCGGTGGCCGGGGATCGAACTGGTGCTGCAGAGGCTGCTTGCAGCCCAGCGCTCAACCGCTGCACCACCAGGGGAGGCCCTCCCTTACCCCATTTCTATGATAGCACTACCATAGAAAAAGATGTCCAGTGAGAAAAGAAAAACATTGACAAATGTTGCATCACATAATTTGAATGAGAAGTGTTTACTATAAAAATGGAGCTTACAATCAAGTTTTTTTCAATAATGATGTATACCTAAAACCTGTTATTTCAAAAATTAAAGATTTTTCACATTTTGATATCCACAGTTTAATTCCAGCATAGTTAGAAAATGAAGTTGATAGCGGTTTTCTAAAGAATGTTACAAACAGTTTGAACAATATAGTAACATTTTAGAAGACACTAAAATTTAAATATTTAGAGGCTGTGAGAAATCACACCAGCCTCCACTAACTTACATTAGATTAAGTACATCTTAATTTCCAAGTTTCTAAAAATGGTGAAAAATAGTTTACCTTGATATTAAAAGAATAAGGTACTTTGGGCAGATTACAAAGAAATTCTTAGGCACTTTCAACTAACATAATGTTATGTTTTCTAGAACATTATAAAGGTTATTAATGATTATGGGGTTAAGGTCAATATGTTTTACTTTCTTGGTTCATAACATTTAATTTTCCACTGAATTAACATATTAGACTTTTCTGTCTTTTTTTCTTGGGTAAGTGAATGATTTATTAGACCTGGTACTCTGGTACTGAGCTTTTCTCATTTCAACTTGAAGAAACTGCAAATATTTATAGAAGATGAACCACATGTATTTGTTCCTGAAAAATGTCAGAATATAGCACTCAAATCAAATGCTAACAGAAGCTATTCCCTAACACTACATACTGTGGAGATTTAATTTCCATTGACATGTTTTTCCTAAACAGTTTTTCCCACTACAGTAATTCCTAACTCAAAAACTATTGAAATCTTCCATTAAGTGTGTACTCACATATTATTCTGATTTATGGATAACAAAACAGTCATATGGAGTTTAAGAATCACACCTTTGAAAAATATAATTGAATTCTGTTAATCTTAAACCATGAAGAAAGCAGTAAGTAGGTTTTGTTTGAACTGATATTCATTTTGCTCTTTAATACTTCAAGAATGCTTTAACCCCACAGTAAAATTCCAAATGTAGGCAAATACTGTTTAATGAGCCAGTATACAGTCCACAAGAGCAGGGACCATAACTAGATTCATCTATATATGCCCCTCTACTTAACAGTCATATTCAAGTGTTCAAATAAGTGTTCCTTCAAATAAGGAATCACCCTCGGTGGGAATACAAATCAATACCACCTTTCCTGGAGGCAATTTAGCAACACAGGAAAGACGCCTACAACTTTATATACCCTGTGACCACTAAACTCAGTTCTAGGAATTCACTCTAGGAAATTATTACACATGTGAGCCAAGTACTTGGATTCTAGAATGCTCAAGGCCCTGAGTCTTTTAAGTGTAAAGTCTTACTGGCAACCCAATATCCTGTGTAGATAGCTGTGTGCCCCTCAGCACAATACATACTGAGAGCCTGCTTCCAACCAACCACTCTTTACACACTCCCCAATATTTCTCTAACAATGACACTCACCCAGTACGGTAATACCCTAGTCCCCTTGCCTCACCTGAATGAGGACAGTGAGGCACAGTGAGTTTAAACAACTTGTCTAAGATCACACTAAAGGGAAAAGAGCCAGGTTTCAAAACGGTTGCCTAATAGTGGAGCCCTAGTGGTCCTTTCAAAATAATGCCCCCCCCCATTTTTTTTTTAACCTCAATTCTCCATTCCTTTGATCATGCTCCAATGGGTCATGCCTTCAAAGTGAATATGACCATATGAGTCTCAAGGCACACCTTCACCAGGGTGGTAGATCTCACTGATTCTGGCGTTATATACACAGCAGGATCTTTGATAAGCATTCAAATACAAAATATTAAAATAGCTTTATCTCTGATATAAAAACTGTCCCCCAATTCTACTTTCGCATTCATAAAACTTGCGATTACAATTATATATCATGGTATGAAAAATAAAAACATGAAGATCTAAACACAAAAACATACAAGGAATAAATATCATTTTTCACACAAAATGAGTTCTTTTTTAATTCCTGTGCCCAATGGTCTATGAGAAGGGGGACTGCTCAACGATCACCTGAAGAAATGAAAAGGTGGACCTATGGAAAGTATGCCAAGCCATTCTGGGGCGAGGGACAAGATTCCCTGCACAAACGTGAAGCCTGGGCTTTGAGGGGTGCTCATTTGGGAGCGATGAAGCATAAGAATTAATAGAAGGTGCCAGGGCTCTGGGTCATGAAAGGAAACAAGCAGCCCTGGACTGTATGGTAAAAATGTGGCACCTCAGAGGCAGCAAAGGTGATGGACCCTGTAAGCATGAGCCTGATGAAGCTTGTTTTGTCTCTTGGAAATAAACGGGGATACGCAGAACAAAAGCAATACAGTAGACATGATATGTCTGAAATGAAATGATCAAACAGTAGACTATTCAATTTTAATTTTATTACTGGCTAGAAAGACTTTTCAATATGCAAATATATTTCTTCCAAAAGTTGCCCCAGTGTGAATACAAGAGTCCATGTCAACTCCTTTTCTGGAAACTTCCTTTTCTTAGTTGTTGTATTCTTGAAGAGCCTGGGCCATGAAGAGTTTGCCTAAGTTTTGGGCAGTGAATTCCTTGATGTTCTGGCAGTAAGTGTTAATTTGGCCTGTACATTTGGGAAAGAAAGAGAGTCATAATGTTCCACAAATTATAAAATGACCTAGAACACTAGTCAAACCAAGAAAATCAACATAATTTTTGAATTAAGAGCTTGCAGGAGTTAATTCTATTTTCCCATCTGGTATAATAAAAAATAAGTTCTTTTGGAAATACGCTACCTTCCACTCTTGTTTACATGGAGAATGAAGAAAACTACAACTTATCAACACTGTACCTTATGAAAGAAGTAAGAAAAAAAAATACTGGCCCTCTGTGGCCAGGTAGAAAGGAAAAAGAACTGCAAGCTAGCCTGGCCCACCTGACCTCCATGTGAACATGTATAGTTTCTAGTCCATACTCTGGAAATATTAAGGGCTCGTTCCCCAGACAATACAAAGCAGGAGCAGAGAGAGCTGGAGAAAGAGCTCCATCACTGCTTTTTAAGTCTTAATCTGATACAACAGTTATACAATTTTGAAAGTATAAGAAATAAATTCTGCTTGGACTAGAACTTAAGTAAGGAATGTGTATTAGTTTCCCAAACTTAATTTATATATGTACTAGAAAGTTTAAAAGGAATTTGGACTTTCCTCCCACATTAAAATTACAATTGAAAAATTGTAGATCAACTTTGAATAGATTTCATGCTAACAAATCTTTCATAGACAGTTGGCTTATTGTATCAAATAGTATTTAACAACATTTAAACAGAAATAAGGCTATTATAGCTAAATGAGAGCATAAATATTATTTATTCAAAATGAAGACCTAGCATAGGGCATAAGAGCTCTCTCACTTAAAGGTATGGTCAATGTTACATTTCCCAGCCCACACAGATTACGCTCACGTTGCAACAACTTAAAAGTAAGGGGAATACTTTACTTCCAGTTAGAAAATTCAGTTTAATTCAAATACCACATAGACTTTGGCTCAATGCTAGACTAGCAGGTGAAAGGTAAGAGGTTTAAGCTAAACAGTCTTTTGGCCATACTAAACGACATTTTTTTTTTTTTTTCTTGGCCCCTATAAGAGTTAACTCAAATAAAATCTTTTCATTATAGAATGTTTGTAATGTCACCTTTAAAAAGAATAAAGTACTGGGGACTCCCTGGTGGCACAAAGCGTTAAGTTGCAGCACTATGAAGCTATAGGCAGCCACTGTAACATGAGTTCAATCCCTGGCCAGGGAGATAACCTACATGGTGCAGCAGACCTCTCCTCTCTCACCCGCTGCTCCCCTCAGCAGCGTGTTTCAGTCAATCCGCCTGTTCTGTTCCCCACTCTGTCTCTGGTGAACTCCCCTGCCCCAACACCTCTGGTCTGTACCCCAGTTCTTGTATGCACAAATAAATAAATCTTTAAAAAAAATAAAATGAGTAAAGTAATAAAAGGGCCATATAAATAACAAAGACTGGCAAACTCTTAAATTCCAGGAATTAGAAAGCACTAGGTTCAAATTCACCATTCAACTATTTAAAATATACTAGCTTTTATGACATATTTCTATTTGTAAATCTTTCACTCTCATCTGCTTCCTAAAGAACAGAGAAAACCAGCCATGTTTTGTGCTGGGCAACAATACCTGCAATGAGCAGAGAATCCATCCTGGCAGGGGGTTGGGGTGGTTTAAAGAGTTTGGAAAGATCCTCCTCAGGGAGTGGGGGTTCACCACGACTCTGGCGCTGCATGTTCTCCTGTTGGCGACGCTGCTGATACTAATATTCAGAGGGAACACAATTTGGTTATTTTTCTCCACCTGCACAGGAAAAAAAAAGACCTCCCTTTCTGACCAAACCAGCAAATCCCCACTGCTCTGAATCTCAATCTCAGTTTTATATTCTTTGTAGCTTCTGAGATGCTAAATATGAAAACAGTAAAAGATAATTCCTCGCTGTAAACTCTACTGTCACCTTGAGCTCCAAGACTCTCTAATTAGGCAAAGAAGCCCCTGATTAGAGTAAATGGGAATAACTTTACTCTTTATGAAAATAAAATAAATGACAGAATTACAAGTATGATTCATCTTTAAAAGCTACGTAATGAACTACCATATTGGAGAATTCTTTCAACTTTCTAGTGACTTAAAATAACAGTAATACTAATGATCTTATTACATTATACTATTATTATTATAATAATTATTAATTTGCTATTCTTAAAGGATAATCATCTGTGCTTTAGCTCTTTAAGAATGAATATTATCCTAGATGATGCTTCAAAAAGTTTCTAACTCTCGATTGCTATGATTCTCTAAGGAGAAGACAGGACTACATATAAAGGTCTCGATCAAATTATTATCAAGAGCTAATAGTTGTGGATTACTTTTAACAGCAGAAGAAATAACAATCCACATGCAGACTTAAAAAGTCAGATGAGAATCCAAGGTGAATCAGTAAAAATTTTAGTCCTCGGATTCCTCTGAAAATCAAGGGAAAAAAAAGGTGACCCTTCCTTCCAAAGAAGAGTGGCAACTCGCTTTGCAAAGATTCTTACACTCACATGGTTTATGTGAGTAGAAGCGGGACACCTCTAAAGCAGAGGAGAAATCGTGCTGGTAAGAATGTCTAGTGCAAAATTTTAAGATATATTATAATCCTGCAAGTATCTGTAAGATCAGTTTCCAAACGAACTCTCTCACAGGTGACGGGTCACCTTGACACCCACTCCCCGCCCTCCCCAGTTAAGTCCCTTCCTAAAGGAAAAATCAGTAGAGGACAGAATCGAGTCTTTCCTTCCCCGACTCCCTCTCTCAGTTTATCAGTTTTCACCACCATCTTTTCAGCTAAAAAGGGAGAGGCTATGAATTTGTATTTTTAACAATTCTAAACATGATAGAAATAAAGTATTTTAAATTCTACTAAATGAGTTTAGACGTTAAAAAATTTAAATATTCCCAGAATCATTTAGGAGTGCTCAGAACTCTGTATTTACTAACACCTACTTTAAAGTACACTTTAATGAGCAGAGAACAGTCATATACAAATACTTTCACAGATAAACACACTAGAATCAAATCGTATCTATGAATCAAATGCTAAGAACTCTTCAGAGCAATATAGTCCAAAAGTAACATTCTAGGAACTGTGAAAATCATGTGGCCTTCAGGTAACACTAATAAAGTAAAGGTTAAATGGCCATAACAGTATATATGTGCATCAGAGAATATTCAGGTAATTCTAGGATTTTTATCTGTATTATACTATCTATTTCACAGCAGTTGGTCTATTATTCCCTATCAAAATTGCTCAGTTTTTTAAATGAAATGAAGATTGCTAACTATGCTGCAATGAGCCACTACCAAACCAATTATAGTTAGTAAAGAAATGAGCTGTGACACTCTAGAATCTCTTTGCCTCTGATTTTCTCAATAAATGTATCTCTTATTTGCATAACCTTGGCATTACAATCTGAGTTTAATACACTGGCTCTCTTTAAGACAGGTATTTTTAAGTACAACTTGTAAATAATACATTAGGAACAAACATACTATGCCAAGAATAATGTTTTTAACTATGATAGAGTTACTAGCTAACAGTCATTGCTTTATCAAAGATAATTTAGAGTATTCTGAAGATCTCTTTTGAAGGATTGTACTTAGAAACAAACTATGTTGATTTTTTCCATAATACCAACCTGATGTTTCTGCTGCTGCTGTTTACTCGTGTTCCTCATGTATGTGTTATATTTAACTATATCTTGGCTCATATCATCTACTCTGTCCATCAGCAACTGTAGATTCTTCCCCAAATGATTGCTGAAATATAAAGATGCAGACACATCATCCTTTAAAGTTATAGTTCTGGTACTCCTCTTAACAGTTCTAAGGTATTAAACGGATCTATTTGCTTCAAGAATGAAAATGCGCGCACACACAGAGAGAGAGAAAGAAAAAAGAATGAGTCAGCTTGTTGTTAAACCTTATTATTGACTCTTAACCAATTACAAAGGTTTTTTTTAAAATAGTTCATTTCTTATTGTCAGAGGATATAAATGTAGTCGCAGTAAGTGATTGCTCAGTGGGTATGGGGTGGATGTTAAACATATCTAGCAAAAGATCTATAACACAAGTTATAGACAACCATGTTTACCCTAAATTCAGTATTCCTATACCATTTTTCCTTAACACCCCCAGTCTCTGTTAGAGAATTTAAATCAACATCCATCGGAAAAGAAGAACTATGTGAATATACTAAGACTTCTGGCATAAGATTCCTCTATCTAGCAGGTTCTAAAAGAGCAAAAACAGCATTTATTATGCAAAGTCAGGAGAAGAGGAATCCCTTTCCTCTCGCCCTTCCTAGAATTTATAATAATTTTTCATACTTCTTTTCCTCTCTAGAAATTTCTGTTACAGCTCATTTACCAAAATCTTATGTGATGTTAATGATTATTACCGTAAGTGATTTCTATCTGTAACTATCTCCTACCATGGTTAAAGCCTGCTACTAAACATATATACTGCAAAAATAACTAGCTGACAAACAGGAATCATTCATTCATTTCAAACATATTTACTACATATCTATTATGTGTCAGTCTCAGCATTAGTAAGTAGGGAAATGTAGTGAATGAGACATTTGAGGTCCTTCATTGAGTTTACAGCTGCCTGGGGGAAAGAAGAAGGGATGGGGAGGTACAGAGACTTAGTATGGTCAGAGTATTGCATTGAAGAGATGACAGGCTGAAAGCACAAGATTGGAATGAATCAGCCATGCAAAAAGTCCTATAGAAAAAGAAAGCACAAGTGCTAAAGGCATCATACGAACAAGTATTGGACAGATAAAAGAGGCCAGGCACAGCTACAGTACAGTGATAGATTAGGGAAGTCAGACAAGCACATATGGGAAGTCACTAGCAACACCACACAAGACAGTTTGTGTAAATGAGACCCCTCAATTCCAAAGTAAATGGTGCTCTGGAATTGTACATATTTGTGGGAAGAAGAGAAAACTGGTATGTGTAAATGAATTTATCTTTTAATCTCAGGTCTGACCCTACTATAAAGCTTTAGCCCAGTGACTCAGTCTGATGATTTAATCTGTATGGAAATCAAATGCTTTTTTAAAATTAAATTTTAATTCATATTTATTTTACTCCATTATAAATTTGTGAATCACATACTTTTAATATTAAAATACTTCTTTGGAAGCCAGATTAGTTATCCACTTCTGCTTTTATCTAATTTCTTAATAGTTTGATTTCAATTTGCCCATAATTAAGTATTTGGGTGAATGGTGCAAGGTAAAGAAATTAGTTTTTTTCCTGATTAGGTAGCCAAATGTCTTGATTCATTGATTATAGCTATACCGCTTTCCAAATACCTTCAGGATTAAAACTTAACAATATTGTGTGCCCTCATACCCATTCTTTCAACTCATTACTGAACACATACTTTGCTAGTCATTCTACTAGATACCAAAGATTAAATTATGCAAGACACTGTTGTACTCAACACATTCTAGTGAGAAGAAAGGATAAAGAGATACCACATAGTGGGGTAACTGCTATAATAGACGGGATGACAAAAGCATAAAATAGTTTGGTAGTATCAGATGAGACTTTACAGATTTACCTGACAGCTGAAAGCCGAGTTTTTGAAAAGGTAATACAGACAAAGAAGGTGGGAAGGGACACTTATGCAACCACGAAAGAACTCGAACAGCCAAAACAATCTTGAGATACTGAATGAAGGCAGCATGTTTGGAGACTCTGGCATGGACGACAAGGAACTCAGTACACCAGTAGCGAAAGAAAAGAGGAAGACTGGGGAAAAACAGAGCAATGAAACTGAAATGACACAAAACAGGCACAGCACAAATAACGTTGAGATTCTATTGTAAGAGCGATGGGAAACTAGCCAAAAATTGTAAGCAAAGGAGTAATATGATCATTCAATTCATATTTAGCAAGACCACTACAATGAAAGAAGAAAAGGTTAAAAGCAGGAAGTTAGGAGCCTGCAAAAGTGATCAGGAATAGAAATAATGAGGTTCACACCTAAGACAGCCAAAGACATGAAAAAAAAGATGGAATATTTTCAGAAATGTACATAGAAAAGACAGATCCTGGTGAACACTGATATGGGGGTTGAAGAGAAGTGAGTTTACTGTGAAGAAGAAGAACTCAAAAGAATTGTAGTTTCACAGACTCCAAATAAAGAATTTTAGGAAGAAAAGGTTATCAACAATATTAAATGTTTGAGTCTACAACATCCAGTGATAAAATAATAAGGAATCTCTTATTTTAGTGTGAGCTCTAAAAACACAGGATAGACCATTGCAAAGAAATCTGCAAATATTTGTAAGATCAGTTTGTAGAATGAAATGTAGATGGTGACAAGTAGAAAATTCTACCAAGACATTCGGTTACTGAAAAAAAAGGAGAGGTATCCAGACTGGGAAGGAAGAAATAAAATCATGACTATATGTGTAAGACATAATATAATATATAGAAAACTCTAAATTTAAACACCATGAAAAAACTGCAAGGAATAGTAAACAAATATAGTAAAATTGCAGGTTACAAAAACAATGGACAAAAATCTGTATGTTTTCATATGCAAATAAAGGGTAAGAGAAATGAAAAAAAAAATCACTGCCACTTATAATCACATCAAAAAGAAGAAAAATATCTATGAATACAGTTAAGCAAGGAATTAAAGACCTGTACCCTGAAAATGACACAAAGAAATGGAAAGACATCCCCATTCAATATTGCCAAAATGACCAATCTACCTAAAACAAGATATAGATTCATCACAATCTCTATTATAATCCTGATGGCAGTTGTCACAGAAATAGAACAAAAAATCCTAAGATTTCTATAAAACCACAAAATACCTTGAATAATCAAATTAAAAAAAGCAAAGGTATCATGGTCCCTGATTTGAAACTATAGTACAAAGCCACAGCAATCAAAACAGTATAATAGTGGAATTTTAAAAAGGCATATGGATCAATGGAATACAATCAAAAGTCCAGGAAACAAACCCAGATAGTGGATAATTAATGACAAAGAATCCAACAGCATACAAAGGAGACAGTCAAGTCTCTGATAACAGAATACAGTAAACAGAGGGAAAGGAAGTTTTGGGGGACAGATAGAGGAGGCTTAATTTATTGGTTGGTGATGGATGGTGACTGAACATTGGGTGGTGGGCATGGTATGATATATACACAGGTGCTGAGGTGAGAAACTGCAGACCTTAAACCTATCCAATGTTGTATCCCTCATAATCAGGGAAATGCAAATCAAAACCACAATAAGAGACCATCTTACACCAGTAAAAAACGCACATATTAAAAAAAAAAAAACTAGCAACAACAAATGCTGGGGAGGATGTGGTGAAAAAGGAGCTCTCCTACACTGTTGGTGGGAATGCAAACTGGTCCAACCACTATGGAAAGCTGTGTGGAGGATCCTCAGACTACTAAAAATGGAGCTACCATATGATCCAGCAATTCCACTCCTAGGGTTCTACCCAAAGGACACAAAAACATTAATTCAAAAGGATACCTGTACCCCTATGTTTATTGCAGCATTATTTATATAGGTAAGACTTGGAAACAACCCAAATGCCCAAAAATAGATGACTGGATCAAGAAAATATGGTATATATACACAATGGAATACTATTCAGCAATCAAAAAAGATAAGCTAATGCCATTCACAGAAACATGGATGGAGCTAGAAGGGATTATGCGCAGTGAAATAAGTGAGAAGGAAAAAGAAAAATATTGGATGGTTTCACTTACAGGAGGAATATAGGGGAACAAATAAGAGATCAGGGGAAAATAATAATAAAAGACAACACAACAAAACAAAAATAAACAGACAACTATAAATCAGATACATTCTGCAGGGGAAGGGGAGAAGGAGGCTTAAAATGAGGGCAGGAAGAACACAAGGTACTATGGTGATGGTGCACAGGTGAACTGGTGGTGGAAATTCTATGGGGACTACACCTGAGAAAAGAAAGCAAACATTGTTAAAAAAAAAAAAAAAAAAAAGAACAATGATGGAAAATATATATAAATTATTTTTAAAAACCTATCCACTGTTGTAAATTAATGTCATTTCAATAAATAAAATGGAGTGTGAGTGGGGAAAGTGGAATGAAACAAAAGGTCATAAGGTTAATCATGGCATGAAGTCAAAAGGTGCTCTTTCTGTAACTCTGCTTATTACCTTTTTATGAGGGAGATTTTTAAATGTGTTATTCAAAGGATATGAATGCATAAACATTCAGGAGTTAAGTGTCACACTGGCAATTTACTTTCAAATGTTTCAGAAAAAAATAGTGGTAGAATGGGTGCAAATGTGGCAAGATATACAACTGATGAATCTAGATAAAGGCTCATGAGTGTTCGATGTTTTTTAACTTTCAATTTTTCTTAAAAATTGAACATATTCAGAATTTTTTTTCAAATGGGAAAAACAACAAAAGTAATAGAAAAGAACCACACAGAAGCAAACTACAGATGTCTGAGGATAGAGGGCAAAGAAGAACAAGTCCTGACAAGGCAGGAATGGCAGGAACAGGACTGGCTTAAGCGGAGACACTGATTCCTTTACTTTTACCAACTGAGGCTCAAAAGTTGTATTAACTATAAGAAATGTTATAATTAAGTACATAATTAGTTATTAAATAAGTTGCTTATGCTATTAAGTGTAAAAGGAATTTAGCAAAGGGAAAGATCACCACCAATCCATGATTGGGTGTTTTGAGGGATTTGGGGGGAGGCGTGATGGAGGAACAGAAAGATCTGTTAATTATTCCCAGACCTTAAATGTTGGAGACTGACTATGCTGATTTTATTAATGGGAAAGGTAGTATTAGAACAGAGCCTTCCTCTCCACCAAAAAAAATCTTTAATGTATAACAGGGATACAGTATGTTGCAGGCCTGTGTACTTATAGTGAAAGAACACAAGCATAGACATGTAAAATTTAAACATTTCATAACATTTATATTACTAGCCTGCTCTTCAGAAATATATCCAATCAGATACTCAAAAGCCTACACGATATGGGCCTTAAAGGGCAAAAGGAATTAACAATAATACCTAACTATTTCACAGATAACATTCACAGGCAATCAGGTCCATTACCAAGAGCAATTTTATGGGGATCTTTTCAGTACCAGTTCAACAAGAATATTGAAACAGAGAGTTATTGTTAGGAGTTTCAATAATATAGCCTTTTCTTTTATTGCCACGGAAACAAAGAACTGAAAACAGATAACTTAAACAGATGTGAAATGAGACATGCATGATAAGCCTATCCTGGTCACAGTATCATTTTTTCCTTATTATCTTTAATATATGATGCTTGCCTTAGTTTACTTTTAGAAGAGGAAATAAAAAACAATTGTTTTTTCATGTGTGAAATGGTGGTTTGTGTAACACACTGTAAAGAATTAATAAAGGTTGTTATGGAACCACTATCACTACAATTTCCATCTAATAAAATTAAAGATTAGAATTTTTTTAATGGAAAGGAATATGGCATGTTTTATTCACCACACAGAACAAATTGATGAGGTAAATCAAAGAACTGATGCCATATACAGGTTGTGAAAAGTAAAGCCAAGCAAAATTTTAAGGAGCTGCTTAAGAATGATTTCTGACATAATTTCTCAGAAAAATTTTTACGGCAACTTACCTAACTACTATCATCACACTATTAATGCAAAAGAATTAAAATTTGAAATGTACAAAGGCTATATTTTAGTTTTTTAAAATAGTATTATCCATTGGGTCAATGGACTAGTCCACTATTAGAAGTACTGCTTCAAGGCTGTTTCATTTGTTCCTCTCAACAGGAACATCAATTTACCTTCTGAATAACTTCCCATGGAAAGCAAGGAGCCTCTCTTTCTAGTTCACACAAACTACAGAAGATAAGATTATGAAACATCTGTCCAGATCTTAGTTGCTATAGAAAACTGGGATCATCTTTTTGGATATTACAAATGCTGCTATGGACAAACAGACATTACAGACTGGCTCAATGATAATATGAAAGCACAAAAAGGCTGTATTTGGTTTGTATGCTCAATAAAGGAAGCTTAAAAAAAGGTTAGGACATAAATTATATAAGCAAAAGCTTTCATGTAGTCAACTAAAATTATCATATAACTATATACATAACACACCAAATTTTAACCTTGCATACTGAAAAAGGTTCTTAACACAATGCTTTTAAACACAGGTGTGCAGAGTGTGCCTGTAAAAGCAGTAAGAAAAATATGACCTTTTAAAAGAGACAAATTAAAGAACTTTTCTGACTACTTGTTTGAAAACAGTATACTCTTTAGTGCCAAATAAGCCCTGCAACCTGGATGCAACACAGAGCAAACTGGTTTACTATTCAGTTTCCACCTTCACCAGTAAAGACTTTCCAGTGACGCATTCATGCAATGGGATGTGGTGCTCCAACCACAGTCTCCCCCTGCAGAGCATGGAGAACACTGGCTCTCCCTTCCTGGTTATCTCACTTGTCTTAGAGTGAAGAAGCACAAACTCTGTGTTGCCTGGTATAAGCTTTTATCGGAGATAACTAAAAACCTGATAAATAACTGAGCTGCTGCTCCAAGCTGGTAGCTTAAGAAAATATACTTTGTTTCCTTTAGTCATTGAACAAGTGCATTTGATTGACTCATTTACTCTGTCCATTCAATCTGCTGTAACCTTCCCATTGGAAAACAATCACTAGATTCAAGCTTAAAGGGTATTTAAACTTGAGCAAAGCATATATGTTATAGCTCTGCTCATATTTCTGTTATGAGCAGTAGATGGGGACAAAAGAAATATTAATTCCATGAAGGAAACGATCTGTCCCAGAATACCTCACTTAGCGTTTCACCAATAAAATAAATACTATCATAGCAAGCAGACAGTGAAAGCAGTCACAATGAAGGAAATAATGTAACTACTGCCTAAGATAGCAAAAGCCAGTGTCAGGTTCAGAAAATTCTCGTTTTAGTTGAAAATTCAAACTGGAAGTTTACTGCTAAGAGAGCCTGCATCTGAACAAGGGGATATGGCACCGGCAAAACAAAGAAGCATTTTTGTTTTTCTCCTGAGCATTATTAAATATCCAGACATAAAACAGTAGGCCTCTAAGGACAGTATACAATAAATAAAGCTGAGACAAATAAAGAAACTTCCCCCATGGGCATTTACCATATCAAAGCAAAAATAATACAGCAAAGGCAGCAGAGCATTCTTATAATAGGAGCTATTAGTATTCAAATACTGTTCAGTTTATCAGTTTGGCGGTTTTCCTGGGATCTTAGCAGGGCCGGACAAGTACTACATGTTGTTACATATGTCTTAGTAACCTCAAAATGTGCTCAAGTAATTTTTTTTCTTGCTTCATAGGTTAATAAATTCTAAGTAAAAGAATCTTTTACAGAGAGTGATAAAAAGGGACTTTTCATTCGGCAGGGTCACTTACCTGCTAGCAAGACTGAGCAATTCATGTTTATCTGCTACGGCTGACTTCTTCTCAAGCTCCCACATTAGGACGTTGATCAGATGTGAATTTTTAATTACAATCGGCACTTCTTCAAACATGTACTCAAAGGTGATACTTGCCTTTTTCAATCTGTGAAGCATGTTAAAAATACGTTAGTCTGGTGGTCAGAAGTAAGTATTAAATTGACTATCTCAGATATTTTCCCTAATTACAGGTCCTCTCTGGGAGCTTTGTTTCATTTAGCACTTTAAAAAAAAAAGGGGAGAAACTAAAGTTCTACAGAGTCAAGCATAACTCGAGTGATTTGAATAACTGAAAATGACGCAAATTTGTATCATAAGTCCACAAAGTAAGATTCTTGGCAAAAAATTAAACTTCTTTGTAATCAGGTATCTTCAAAACTTCTTCAGTACTAAAATGTAAATGTCATAGGAAGTTATGCTATACAATCTTCATCTAAAACATTTCAAATAAAGCAAATACCTAGGGGGAAAAATACTCCAGTTCTTAAAAAAGTTTAAAAGCTTACTTGAACTAAAGAGATTAACACCAAAGCACTCATAGGATATTTCACATTCAGTGGTTCAGAACATAGCAAGAATGTAGCTGCACATAGTTCAGCTATAACTACCATACCCGGGAAATGTTTGAGAACTAACTCTTTGTATCTTATTTTCTTTAGGATTCAGTGGAAAACTAGCTGTGAACTGTCTGTCCTACATGAATTTAAAGCCACTTTGATGTAATAAGAAATAAAAATTCCTATAATTAACAGAAAGAGAAAAGAATTCTGAATGTTTAAAACAAAAATGTTGATGTAAATATCCCCATGCCATTACGTAGGATCACAAAAATGCTTTATCAATTAACTTTCTGCATATATGTCATTCATAAAACATCCAAAAAGTCACATTCCTTATGAATCCTTAAAATATCTTCCAACCCTCCTCCTGAAATAGGAACTCAAAAAATAAGATACACAGGACACAAGTGCTCTGACACAGAGTTACAATGTGACAGCAGCCATCAGGAGTTCTATTGTCCTTTATTTAATCATTTATTTCTTCAAATTCAGCAGCTAATGAATTCCCATTTTAAACAAATTCATCTTTGGTGAGAACAACAGATGAGACATTCCATAAAGAATAGTTTAAACACGGAAAAGGAGAAGTCAAGTGGCACTCAGCCATGCAGGAAACTTCTACTGTCCACATGGCAAAAGCATTACCACACCAGCACACTGGATTCAATGACTGTGGCAAACGAAAATCTTAAAAAAAAAAAAAAAAAAAAAAAATACCCAATCCCTTACCACATGCCTCATAGACGTACAAACACTTACGCTTCAGGAGAAAAATCCTTCTCTTTACAAACTTCCATCAGTTTAGGAGTCAGTCTGTATGCCTTCAATGAGAGAGATCCTTGGGCAGTTTTTATGGGATCTCAAATAAGGAAAGAAAAAGAAATAACTAAGCATTTTGTCACTGCCAGTGCTCAAATGACATGGGTCTAAGGCACATTTTATTGCTTATATGCAACCTTGGCAAAACAAAGATTAAAATAATCAGGACACAATTTAAAGCAGATTCAAACCAACACAGCAAATAGTAAGCAAAAAGTTAGGAAACTACCATCCTACTTATAATAGAATAACCTCTTGCCTAAAGTAAAAACAGAAGATTCAAAATATAATTATTTTCAATCTAGTCTTCAGCTAGAACCAGTAATTTCGATAAAAAATTAAATTTCCATGTTATATGCATTTTATATACCTCTTCTACAATCAGAAGCACTGATGAATAGTAAAATATGAAAATTCACTACAGACATTTTTAGGTAGCTCTTCAGTCAATTAATTTAAATGAATAGCCCTGCAAGCAAAATTTAACCATCCTAGTAATCACTGTTCAAATTTCTTAGTTAAAACAGATTTTACAAACAAAACCACTTAAGTCAAAGTGCTATGACAAAAGCGTCTTTTTAGTTTTAGTGAAGCTGATTTTGTCAAAACTAACTGCTTAAACACTCCATGAGTAAGGGAGCTTAGCACTTGCTGCATGATAACGGCTCTGGCATGCCAATATTCGCCTAAAACCTGTGTTAACATTCATGTTGTCTGAAACTTAACACAGTGAAACTTTTAGCAATAGGTGATAAAATGAAAACCAAAATAGATTGAAACAAGTGGAAAATTCATCAAGGTCTGATGATGCAATGTTTCCAGCCAATATAAGTACACTTTAACAACTTGTTCTTTACTGTAATCCAATTGTTAACATACTGAAACAATTTGGGGGCAGCTCATAAGATTGATCGTATTCATTAGTATTTTTTCTGACAGATACTCAGGACGTTACATTTACTTCTCAGCTGGAAACTATATGCAAGTCTGCCAGATATGGCAAACTGTGAGTGTTTGGGGAGGGGGAAGGCTATAAAGCTGTTAAATTGCCTACAGTTCTGATACAGCACAGAACATCTGGTCTGGAGAGCTTGAGGAAACACCATTAAATAGGACGAAAAGAAAAAAATCTTTGTGCTAAGAAACAGTCCAGGTTTTGTACGCTGCTGTCAGAGGTATAAAAAAAAAACTTGGCACGCCGAGTTATGATTGGTCAGTCACGTACAGAGCCAGACACTCTAGCAATCGGGGTTTGTTAGACATCTGGTCTAGTTCCACCAGCCCCTTCAAGTGAGGGAGGGGAGATGGAGGAATAAAAATGAAGCAGCTACTCCAGCATTCCAAAATGTACACATCAGGGCTCTGATAGCAAGAAAAATAAACAGAAAGAAGGAAACCCTGTCTAGACTTAGCTGCTGCTGAGGCTGCTGCAGAAACAGGGCTGGTATTTACTTGAGAAGGTCTGCCAGGCTGCTCTTAAGGCAAAAAGACAGAAAGCAAAAATAGAAGTAATAATACTGAGGGAAGAAAAGAATAATAAAGGAACCTCCTACTAACCGTAAATGAGAACGACAGATTCTTCAATGGCATGCTGGTAACTGAACTGAGAATCCAGGAGCGCCCGGGTGACGAAGGAGCCATAGTACGTGGACTGATACCAGCCTACATGGAGATGGTCAATGTTCACATGGCGAAGGCTCCGCATCATTTCCATCTGATACTGAACTGGATGAGAGAAGGAGGAGGAAAAAAGAAAAACGATTTAATAATGCCACCGATATTAAAATCAAGCCATTCTGGAAACAAATTCATATATGAACTATTAGTCAAAGTAAGCAGGTTTCCAGATTTAAAATACATTCAGTTCACATACAAAGGCAATAAAATTAAGCTTTCTGATCATTTGGGACTTTCCTTTTGTTTTCATTAATGAAAGCATATTTTTGTAGAAAAGGAATTAAAACAAAAATAATGACTGCTCTAAACAAGGAATAATTTAGTAAATGTACTTTCCACTCCCCTTTTTAAAACTCTAAAATTAGTTAATTTTTAAGGAAAAATTTCTGCCATTACTAAACTGGTTGTTGTAAGAACTTTCATTTAAAGAGAGAATAGTTATCATTTGAGTTAAAAAGTTAGAATAGTTATCAACGTCTTCTTCAACACAGATTTTAGTACTAACAAGTCAAAACCATCAAGAAAAATTAATGAGGAAACAATTAACAACCACATTATTTATATATGAACAGGATACAGGCTGTTGCTGATTTAAAATACAAGAATTCATTTTTGCCTTCATCTGGTGCCCCCTGCTGTATATGCTACACTTAAAAAAGAATTCTTTTTTCTTGTCTGTGTGCTCCTTTGTGTTAACAGACACTTTTTCATCAGAATAGATACATTTAATCACTATGTATAGAAAGAAGTTGGATGACTGAATTTTTGTTAAATTAATGACTTTTACATATATTAATTTTAAACAATATTACCTGAAAGAGGTGCAAAATGACAATATAATAAAACACTTTAAAAAGCAATATAGCCTAATGAGTAGCAAATATTTAATACAAGAGGAAGTATTATAGTCAGCATAATATCCCAGCTATTTCTATTATAGTGAATGCATGACTATACTGAGTAAACATATCTGCTTAACTTGGAATCCAACCCATTTCATTTTTAAAACTCTTAATCGTGTTTTAGCATAAGTAAAGTTATATGTCTGACATTTCCTTGGTTATAGAGCTATGGTTTTACAAAGAAAACAAGACTCGGGATCATAAAGTATAACAGAACTTTGCTCAGATGGACAGAGTTTTTATTTTTCAACACTTGTTACTAGGCAAAGAAATTATAAATCTGCTTGGAAAAGTTGTATTTCTCATAGTAAAAGATGGCAGACAACTCATCAACTGCTCTAGTATTCTATTGGTTTGTTCTTTTTTTAAAGGTTTTCATTTTCTATACCACCTGCTGGCCTGTAAGAGCAGTAAAAAATTAATACACTAATCTTAATCAATTGTTTTTTTCCTTAACTTTTGTCTCTTTAGCACGTAAGAGGCCCTCCCCCTGTGTAGCACAATCCTATCAAACACATAAATTTGAGATAGAACAACTGTTACCTGTCATGTTTTGCTTTGAAACCCTCTTAACGTTTAAAAATTGTAAAATCACTGAGTTGGCTAATGAATTTTAACCAAATTTAACTTATAGAAAGTCCCAATATCATAAATATGAGCCAGAACTGAACTTACAATTTATTTTAAGAGGACAGGGAAGAGATGAGGGAAGAGTATCAAGCAATAGCCAGGGCAAATGTGAATTGAACTTTTTTTTTTTAAATTCAGTATTTCCAAAACAACTGTAAATATAGAATTTAGCTGTAATATTGCAGAGATTAGATCCTGCCAACTTACAATGTAAGTGGAAAAATGACTTTGACTCTCAAGATCTCAGGCTGTCACGCCAGCTCTGAGGCTTCTCCCGCAGTGTATCTTGCTGACCCTTCCCTGATGCTCACTACTTTTCCCATCTCCAAAAAATATCTGCCAGTCAAATAAATGCTGTGACTCCACAATGCTCACTGCGTATGCTAAGTAGCGATTTCTCTATGAATTAACTCAGGGTTCTCCATTAATACTTAAAATAAAAACGCATTTCTGTGAAAAAAATCCTGCAATCTTATTAAGTCTCTCCTCAAATAGCCTGAATACGACACATTTTATAACAATTTCTGGATGGTTAAGGGAAAAACAACTTCCAAGGTCAGTAGAAAAGCTCCAAATTTTTATCCAGAGTTTTATCTACCTTATAGGTCCTTGGATAAGAATGAAAATGAAGTATTTCTTTCAGTTAGGGAAGAGGCTAAGGGATATGATGAGGCCTGTGGCGTTCCCGCTGTTATGAGGTATGTGTTTTTGGGAACTGGGGAGCCCATATAGCTAGTGGCAGGGGAGAAGCACATCCATCCTCTTCTATAGCTCAAGATATCACGGCACACACGATTCTACATGGCTTTAATAAAAACTGAATATATAAATGTAAGGGTTAAAAATAATGATGGATGAATTGATAAAACTGCTTCTGAAAATCTGCAATCCACTGAAATCCACCCAAATATAAGTGCTGGTCCCTTTTCTTTGTGAAATTTCCCATCATTCTCTCTCTTGGTTTGGATTTATCACCTAAAAACAACTTTAACCCAGAGGAAAAAAGGCTCTAAAAGGACTGCAATTGATCCTTGAAATGTTAAGATAAAGGGGCTAAGAACTCCACGGAGAAGCTGAGGGGCTCTAAGGCCAAAACTTCACTAGGACTACTCATGTGCAGCTCCAATAAACGCAGTTTAAAGAGGTCATCTTGATTCAATATACATTCTTTTTTCAATTAATTCAGTGACAATTTTTTAAAGCAGTGTTTTTTCTTATCTCTGCAGACTTTTAGATCGGTGTCCTCATTCCAATGTTGGTGTAGACATGACCCTTCACCCACACAGTTTTCAAAACTCTCCCCCAGCTCAACTTTTTAAAAAAAATACAAAGCCCAACCCAGCAAAAGCACCCTGGTAAACCTAAGCAAGGGTAAGAAATGCACAGCAGGCTGACCCAGTAAAACTCAAACCTGTGCCTCCTAGCAGCAACCATCCATCAACTTATCTGAGCCACTCACCAGTTGACAGCTATTTATCCCTCTGGCCTATGATAGAGATAGGGGGAAAAAAATCATAAAATGGAGACATGCAAGTCAATTTTACACAGGAAATAATGAGCAGTGATTCCAGATTCTAATCACCCAGGCAAATACCACTGCTTTCATACCTTTGCTAGTCTCTTTCAGAATTATCCTGGAGTAGTGGGGTGTATATAGAGGGTGGCTAGCTAATGCATAGTAGGCATGCACAGAGGCCCAATTTAGTAATGGAATCCAGGAACTGGGGGAGGGAAAGAGCTCATGGCATCTGAAGGTGACTGAGACAATGTAGTGTCCCAGTCCACAGGCTCTGATGAGTAGGAGGTGGTGTCACTGCCTTCCCATGCTAGCTCAGCCTCACTTTCCTAGGCTGGAGTTTTAACAGCAGGGTGTAAAGATGTGGCTACACAGAGAGATGGTTCACTCTATTTAGGGAGTACCTCACACCTAAGAAGGAAGAGAATCATAGAAAAAGAAAGAAAAGAAAAAAAGGGCCCTCTCCTTTCGAGAAAATGCCCTAACTCCCTGTTGCAGATTTAATGCAGAGCAATGAAGTAAGAAACAAGCATTTACTGGCAACTTTGCACGGTTGGTTCTGGGTTAGACATGCTTTCGTTTCTGTTCTCAAGTTCTCATATTGAACAGAAGCCCAAGCAGGGATTTCAACCAATAATATTCTCTTCTCAGTTAATGGCTGAATATTCCTGAGGAATTTCCCCAAAGATAAATAGCAAAGGGAAGATGTTTTTGAAGGACTATTTTAAAAATTATGATAATATTCAGCAGAAGAACTCAGGATTGTGTAGTGAAAAGTTAAGAAAAAAGCCTTTTAAACATTCTTCGTTTAAAAAACAAACACCCTACGGAAGGAGAAACTGGGCAACAAATGAATTTCAAAGACAAATTGGTAGTTAGTATTTAGCCAACTCAAATTACTAATACAAAAGTCACACTTACATGCAATTGAGGTAGCACTACAAAATTTGGAAGGATTATAAAACAAACTGAAGTTTTATAAATCTCTTCAACTTCTACAATTGTCTTAATTGGCTAAGTCTCTCCTCCCAAGCAAAGGAGAAGCTGGTTTACAACACTAAATAACTGTTCGAAGTTTGGCACCAGTATATTCATATTCACTTTTTCCAGATATCCTCTTTGCAAAACAGTCAATTTTAAATTGCCTAGAGCTAAAGCTGTCTTAACTGAGGCAGGCTGCCCAATAACGATTCCTTTCAAAAACCCACCACATTTGTTGGGCTTTCTCTTGTTTTATCTCCAAATACGAAAACACTGAAAATGATACGTTGTCTTCTATTTAAATGCTATATCTGTGGTTACACTGGCAAACAACCAAACAAGAATTTGAGAGTTGAGTTTTCCTGAAGATCACTGGAAAGAGCAATAGAGTAGAAACTTTTCAGTTTAGTAATTAATCAGCACTTTCACCTTCAATTCTCTACTCAAAAAAAGGATTTTACACCTCCTTTTTGAAATCATCTTTTTGAACTTTATTATTTTAAGTGAGTCCTTGTTAAAATACAATTTCTCAGTGAAAACAGGAACAAAGAATTGCCACAGTTGGCAAGGCTGCAAATAGCTGAAAGTAGAAAGTTAAAGCTATAGTATAAAACTTGAGATCTGTCTGGCAGATTAAGAAAAAGTGTTACAGTTGTCTTATTAAAGAACTCTTACAGGACAAGTAACCTAATTTAAGTTTCAAAAATCAAAGACAATTTAATGGATGCAGTCATTTAATATGGTATCAAATAAATCTAATTATTTTAACATGTCATAATAGAATTACATTTAAAATATACATAGATATAGACTGGAGAGAGAACTAAGCAGGAAAGAAACCAGTACTTAGTGAGCATTTATTATGTTAGGCTTCTTGCTAAGTGGTCTATATATGTTATCTGACTGTATTCCTCACAATAAATAAGCTAATCATGATTATTGAAATCCTTGTAGAAAAGCTGTTTACCACAGCTTGTAAAGTCATAGAATTCAATCTGACTTCAAACTCGCTGACTCTA